TGTTTTTATGAACGGTGCTTATCTCAACTTGAACTCAAGTTGAATGCTCGATGTACCTTACACGAGCCAGCCAGAAACAAACCTATCAAGATTAAACAATATAAAAAATAAACATTCAGTATTTTTTCTAAACGGACTGTTGAAACCTCTTTGTACAAATATTTTAAATATGAAATATGCAATATTTAACCAAAATCGAAATTCAGTTAACCAAAATTCGGTTCAAAAACATAAAATAGTTCAAAAACCTTTACAACAAAATTAATATCTAAACTTTAAAAAAAATTTCCAAACTTTTAAAATTTTAATAATTTACCCATATAAAACCCTCAGTTTTAATTTATGAGGCGACCATTCCAATACAAAAATATAACGACCTATTCCGGTCAAACAAAAAATGATTTTGCCCAAATCCAAATTATCGACCCACATATAAACCTACGCCTATATGTGGAATTTTACAAAATCCAAGCAAACTTTTTCAATAAAAATAGGAATTTTTTTTAAACCAAATAGACAAAAATCAAATTTTGTGGCAGAAGAACTTTATAGTGCGGAAAATCAGTCAGATGAGTTTTTCGAAGAACCCTCATATGATCTCAAATAAAGTGAACAAGATACTTATGTTATTTCAGGAATCATGCCAGAAGAAAGCGAACAAGTCACGTATCATAACGACGAGTATACAAAATTTTGAACCATAAGTCAATTAAAAAGTTTTTGTTAAATCAAAACCACGTACCGATAAACTAAAATATAAATATCAACAACAAGTAGTACTAAACGTCAATAGAAAGTAACGAAAATTTATTCTTGCAGCCGATTCCCGGGCCTTCTAACAATAGTGAATCTACCTTGTATTACCCAATCCTAAAATATTCAGAAGACTTTGAAACTTTAGAAGATAACCCAGGACTACTTTAATTTCTAACTGCCTTTTATCAAAAACTACTATTTTATAAAGACCTAAATCTCCTTGTTAACGAGGCAAATTTAATTAATATCCAATACGACAAATTGATTACTACTTTGGGACAAAATCACACACAAATTTTATTAAATGTAGAAATAGTACACATTGAAAAACTTGTTAAACATTATCTCTCTAAACGCGGTTTAGGTATATTAGACTATAGTCTAATTAAAACAGTAACCAGAAACCTCGATAATAACGACGGCCAACGCTACGATCAGCTGTTGAATAAATTACAACATAATCAAAAAGATCTCCAGATTCACTTAAACAAACAAATTACAGTATCGCGAAAATTAATAAATAAGTTTAATGCAACTATGTCAACCATACAACATCATGAGCATATACTTCAAGACAAAATCAATAAAATAGCATACTTAAGTAGAAATGTTCAATCAAATAATCACATTAAATTTGTATTTAATTATATTCTAGGAATGATAACGAACCTTAGATTAACTCTTTTGGAATTAGATACAGCAATAAACTTTACAAAATTAGGCAAACTACATTCTTCAATACTGAGTAACTATGACTTACTTTACGAACTCACATTATTAAATACAAAACTAAACTTACCAATAAAACCTGATTATAATAATATATTTGATTACGAAAAAATTATTAAAGTAAGCTCTTATGTTTTCAATTTTAAATTAATTTTTGTTTTTCTTATACCAATAATAAACAATACAAATTTGAGCATTTGTTTTCCATACCCAAAAAAAAATTTAATAACCCATTCATGGCAGTTAAACAAAAAACAATATTTCTGTTAAAATCTGATAAAACTTATATATTCGATAACCAGTTAAACTGTAATCAATTAAGAAATACTTACTTATGCGACTACTCCGATGAAGATAAATTAAACGACCCCAACATCTGTGAAACAAAATTACTGGATAATATTACCGAAATCAAAAGCAACCATTACCGAAGATTGTAACGGCTAAGTAACGAACCTCATTGTAAATCAACCTTGTCTGCTCAAGTCGATCAACGTTGATCGATATGACAGTACTGTCATATAATAGTTGACGATAAAATCATCCGAAGCACAGACATTGAGATGACAACCTACAAAGCAGTGGCGTAGCTACCGCGGTATCAGCCGTATCAATGATTCGGGGGCCCCGGCTAGGGGGGGCCCAAGATTGGCTTCGACATGCGTAAGCAAAAAACATATTATCCACATGTTAAAAAAATTGAGACATGAAATTAATTAAATAAATAATATTAAAATTTAATTGTTCATACTTCGATATATTAGATTAAAATTTTCCTGAATACCCTCCTGTTCCAACGAGGCCATGAACTCATACGAATTGTTTCTGCCCGCACTTTTCCGCCATGCGTTGTCTGCGGCGCAGTCTGCGCATATTGTTCTGTGCTCTGCGTCGTCATAGGTATATTAATAGCAAATTAGAAATAATTATTAGCGTTACAATTATTTCAAATGACTTGCCTTTATTTTAAAATAGAAACCTTTTATTAAATTATAAAAAATTGGTAAATGCAAAAAAATGATAAAAAAAAATGTTTGCCCAAAATAGACTTTGGGCGTGACACTCAGAAATTTTTTTGCCAGCAGCTTTTCCCGTATAAGGGCCCCTACCAGATTTTTGATCCGGGGCCCCCTCGAGCCTAGCTACGCCACTGCTACAAAGTCAAATTCGATACAAAACATACTATCAATCAAAGAAGATTCAAAATATAAACCTCGATGATCTAATGGACCTCAAGGCATCTCTACAAGAAATCCCTTTGAAGGAACCTAAATTGGAAATTCACCCAATCTGGATATTTTTGCTTTATGGTTTTGGAATGTTTGTCCCGGTCCATCTGGAAAAAACTTGATATTTGTCTACTGAAAAAACCAACGCCTCAACCAATACCAACCAATTTGAAGTCTGTCGAGCCCCAAATAACTTTCTGATAAGGGAGGAGTTATGTGCGCCACCACTGGAAGTTTGATATGTTTGGTTAGCATTTTTAATTCCTTATAAAAATTTTAATTCTGTAAAAGTTATTCTCTGTTTGCATCTCATATTGTACGTTACTCTGCCATTTAGTTGTAAAATAAAATTTTGTCTTTTATAATAAAAAGTGTTTTTATTAAGTAATAAACTTAACTTATATATACGTATAATATATATTTAATGGTCGTTTAATTAAGGATCCAATTTTTTTTTTTTCGTTTTTTATTCGAAAGACTTTAACGAAAATATAAAGAGATATTGAGAAAATTATAAAAATGCAAATTGTTTATTTATCTTTTTTTTAAATTAAATATATTTTTTATAAAAATTTGATAGGTTTTGAAGAATTTTCAATTAAGGTAAAATTTTATTAAAAGGCTTTATTCCATGAGAGATTTTCGTAAGTAATATCATAAGGGCATTTAATTTTTCCGAAAAGAATCGAAAAAACACGTTGCTAAGTAATATTTTAACAAAAAGCATGAGTGCTGGTGGCAACAAAAATCCGAGTCGAAGAGGAGGATTTTTGCACCTGCACGAATGCATTTTGTTAAAAAATATTACTTAGCATTGTGTTTTTTCGATTTTTTTCACAGGAAAAATTATATGCCCGAATGGTATTTGACAAGACTATTTCATGAGTAACAGTTAACAATTAAAATATAAATTGCAATTTTTGGTGACAACAGCTGTCAAGTTTTGCCGCGGGTAAACTCGAATAAACTGCTGACAGGTGCTGTCACACAGTTTTTTCACCTAGAAACCATTTGTAATTCAAAATTGCGCGTTTGTGATTGGTGGAAATTAAGACGAGGGAAATAGTCGAAAAAAATTCGTCCAAAACGCTCTTTTTTAAATAACTTTTATAATTGTTTATATATATTTTTTTAATTTGGGAATATTTTACTATCAATGAGTACTACAAAAACCAATAATTGTTTTTTGTATTTTCCAAAGTCGGGAAAACAGTGATCCGTTTCACTAATTCTCACCCCTGTACAATTGTATTTTAGCATATATTTATATAATTATTGTTAGTTTATTAGTATTAGTAAGATTTATATTAAATGTATGTCTGATAATATTCCTACCATGTTTAAAAATAGTAGTGGTAAATATAATTATTGGAAAATCCAAAAGGCTATCGTCCGAGGTCTTTCTGCCTTGTTTAAAAATATTTAGTTATAATAATTATTATCATTTACTTACCCATGTACCTGACGTTTCTTGCAATCTTTTTAACAGTGAATAAACATTATTATTATTATTACTATGATTATTATTAATGCATTCATATTTATGTTAATATATTATGTAGGATTTTGATGTTTGAATTAATATAAAACTTACCTAATCATCTTATTACAAATTCCAATTATTTGTATCATTGTGCAGCTTATTTTATTATTATAAAAAAAGCTTAATAAAAAACAAATGAGTTGGATAAATCAATAATTACACAGCTATGTTAGGTACAAAAGTAGGGTATTTAGGTTAAAAAAAAAACAAGAAATAACTTTGACCTTTCATTCAGGTTTTGTTCTTTGACCTGTGCACTTGCTCTGTTAACCAGTTTAAAATATAAATGACTTGGGCACTGGAAGAACTAAATTGGATTCTATCTATATACAAAATCTACATTAGATTGATTAAGTTACACGGAATTTCCACAATGAATGGTTGAAGAAGTAGAATATTTAACGAAAAAATAGAATTATCGATGAAAAAAAAATGTATATGGTGGTTGTAAAAATTTCGTGTAGAGTGTTTAATAATGTTTATGGGAAAATTGTATGAATACAAAAATCAAAAACAAATATTTACAGTAAAAATAATAGTAAAATGGAAACAATGGACAAATATTATAGATAATGCAAACTGGTAGAAATTTAAATGTTGAAACAAGAAAAGAAGACACAAATTATTTTAAAAACTAAAGAAGAATATAACTATTTAAAAGATTCAATCATTTTAAGCGAACTAGAAATTAAGTTTAAACAAATAATTACCTACACAATAATCAATTTTATTTAAGACAAACACTATAATATATTATACCTTATTCTTTAATATATTATACCTTATTCTTTAATTACAAAATCTTTATAGCCTGGAAGCTGCTTTAAATTTAAATTTTGTTCATTGCATAAATGAAGTAGAGCCACAAAAGCTAAAGGACAACTTAATTCTTTTTTCATTTTTTCGTTCAACAAACATGGAAGTTCATTATATAAATTTGAAAAAGATATTGTATTAATTTTGGCATCTTGAGATTCCACCTAAAAATAAAATATTGCATTAAGTTATTAATTCAAGAAATGCTTTAAAATATACATTTTTAACAAGTTTTTGCCAAACTGCAGCTTTTAATTTCTTCATATCCATTTTTTTTGCTTGTAAAGCATAAGGGACATATGATTTGGGAACCTACAAATGTAAAAAGTAAAGAAAAAATATCAAATAATAAATATTTATTGTTGTTGACGGTTTTCGCTATTATAATTCTTTTTTGTAGTTTTGACTTCTTTTATTTCTTAACACTTTCGCTGCTGACTGGTATGGGCAATCGACCCCCAGAAACTGAAATAGTTTGGAAAATAATAAACAGTTTGAATACCAGAAAAGTTAAAAACACATTTATTTTATAAAAAAAAAAAACAAAAAAAAAGGCTCTTAGGGCTAGGACGTCTTGAGACGTCTTCTGCCTCCAGAGGCGGAAGACGTCTAAAGGATTACTAAAGGATTATAAGCAATATTGTAGTGGTCAAAAGGCGCAGTTCGCCTACCACTTAAGAAGCGGTGGGCTTCTTTAGACGCTGTCAGCAGCGAACGTGTTAAATTGTTTATCTATATTATAATGTATGAACAACACAAAACCTTTTTGTATTTAAACTAAGGCTGGGAAATATTTTTTAAATAAAAAAGTTAAAATTGTTCATTAATTTTCTCTAAAATTAAGTAATTTTTTTTATTGTGTGTTTATTTTTTTAAGGTATATAAAGTGTGTCCTAACAAGAGCGCGGGATTTAATTTTAAAGAAAAACACATTTTGAATAAAGCCAACATTTTTATATCAACATAAAGAAAAACAGTTCCGATTAAACGTGAAATACAACATCAGGCAAATGGCCACCACGAAACCTCTGGCACAGGGTTATTTTTTTTGTTGAAATTTTGAATAGCGTTTTAGCATAATGTGGCTGTATTTAACCAATAACCCGAAGTATTTCCTCTTTAAGATGTTCAACTGTTTAAGGCCTATTTTTATTTATTTATTTATTAAATTGAAACTACAAATCAACTTGTAATAGCTGTTAACGTAGAGTAATCATTACAATAAAGAAAAAATAGATTTATAAATTGAATAACAGTATAATAATTATAAATTGTCCTTGATGTACTTTTTCAATGTTTTTATAAATTTTTCATATTTATCCAAGGATTTAATGGAGTTTGGTAGATCATTGAAGATTTTAACACCCTGTTGTATTGTTGATCCAGAAGCCTTTTTGGTCCTAACTCTGACTGTTCTGAGGTTTTGTGCTCCTCTAGTTTCATAGTTGTGAAAATCCGAGTTTATGTTCAAGCTTGCACTTGTTTTAATGTCTTTGTTTTTTATCTTATATACTAATTTGCACAATTCGAAACTAATTAACTGTTTAATATTCATTACCGGAATTATTTTATAAAGGTCTTTAGTTGGTGTATCATACGGTAGATTAAAAATTGCTTTTAGCGCTTTATTTTGCAGTCTTTGCATTCGGTTTAGATTTCGTTGGGATGTATTTGACCATATTGCTATGAGATAACTTAAGACTGATTTAATATATGAGTTATATATAAGGAATCTGCAACTCTCCGTCAAATATTCGCATACACCTTTTCCTTAACTTAGCCCTAAAGAAAAAAGTCCATCGGTGCTAGATCGCACGATCTTGTTAGACAATGTTGATCACCAAATCGAGAAATATTACGGCCTGGAAACTTGATCTGCAGTTACTCCATTGTTTCACGTGCTGTGTGGCAGGTCCCACCATCTTGTTGTAAAAATATGTCCTCCAAATCAATTACATCCAATTCGGGCCACAAAAACTCCGTTAACAATGTTTAATTCTTGACCACGATGCCGAATGGAAGTGGCTATATTTTCGAGTGACCGACAAGGACGACAACGAACAATGGTCTTCTGATCCATCGGAGTAAATTTGGTCTCAAATTTTGTAATTAAACGCCTCACTGTCGATTCATTTGGCGCATAATTGCGATCAAAAACTTGACGAACTGTTTTCGCAAAACTTTCACCATTTTTGTAATGTGATTTAACAATAATTAAACATTGTTCGTTAATATTTCTCCATGTTCTTAAATCGCCTGGTCTGTACGTAACAACTGTCGAAAAAAAAATCAGCGTACAACTCATATTAACAAAATGGTGGCAAATTTAAATCTCGCGCTCTTGTTGGGACACCCTTATATAAATATAAATATATATAAATATTCTAAAATTTCACCAAATTTTAGGTAAATATCTAGTTTTACTAAAAGGTTAATTAAGTGCTTCCTATTATAGTATTTAAATATTTACCAATGTAGGCATGTGGACAAGATTTTCACTTAAAAAGTTTTGTTGTTGATGATGGCGTTCTTCAGTATCAAAATTATTATCCATTAAATCCTCATTGTCCATGGGATCATCCTAAAATATTAATTTATAAAATATATTTTCATTAAAAATTCACATAAACAAAGGAATGCCCAAAATTTTTAAGATTAGATAACTTTTTGGTCAACTATCGGCGTATAATTTAAAATGCTGGTAAAGTTGCCATATTTTCACAGCCAGGCTCAGTTTATATGAACATTTAAAATATGACAAAAAAATAGTCTCATCTTATACATCGTATTATGAAAAACAATTCCAGGAGATCAACCAGTCAATATTGTCATATTGCTTAATTTTTTTCTAACTCTTAAAAAAATATCAGAAAAACACGGTAAAATAACGATTTGAATGCTATTTGACGTCATAATGATCATATAGCGTAATTAGGGTTGCCAGGCCCTAAAGTACACGATATTAGGCCCGACATTTTGCCCTAAAAGACTTGCCTTGCCTTTAAAGCTGGACATAGCTTGTGTATTAAAAAAACTCGGTTACGTATTTTTAATAAAAATGAATTAGTTTTGTTAAAAATTAATTAATAATAATAAAAAATAACTAACAACAAAAAGCCGGACACGTAAATATTTGGCCGGAAACGACCGTAAAAGGCCAAAAATGTTCGGATAAAGCCGGACGCCTGGGAACCCTAAGCGCGGTGCATGATTTAAATAACCTCAATCTGTCGCGACATGTCGGTGACAGCCCACACAGCACACTACGTCCATTGTACGTCCATTAAAAGTCCAAACTAAGTACATACGTCCATGGACTTTAAATGTACGTCCATGGAGTTTACGCTTTCCAATGTCCTTAGGATGTTCCAGAAGAACGTCCATAGGATATCCATGGATGGACACAAGATAAGAAATAATAAGATAGATGTTCAAAGTCTAATTTAGGACTCCTGCGGTCGATAACGGCTACCATACTAAATAGTTACATTTTACAAAAATAGCAAACAAAACAATTTTTACAATTAAATACACATAAAAATTAACAAATGTTTTATTTGTTGTTAATTGTTAAAATTGTTTTGTTTGCAAACCATGACAGTTTGGTTGAATTAATTTACTATATAGTAAACTATAATTTTATTTATAGAAACACCTCAGATATACCAAGTTACGAATTAAACATTATTAATAGGTTTGGTCCGGTCAGCAATAAAAAATACCTAATGAAAAAAAGTCAGTCATGATTCAAATCGTATCATACTACCATGACATATTATTATTAAAGACAATGTCATTGAATTATTTCAAAATGTTAAACACCAATATTTTTATACTTGAATTATTTGTTTAGTGTTAAATATAAAATAAAACTTAATTTTAAATTATAAATAAAACTAACAATATCGCTACTAAACGGGCATTAAAAAAATTAATATATCTTTTAAAGGAATAAAAATAACAAAACAAGACTAACTGGACTGAAAAGATGAAGGTGGGGACTACATTTCCTGAGAGTTTCAGATTTTTATTTTTTCCTCAACATAATGATTTCTGAGGGCAAAATTGGCTAATTTTGAGAATTATCAATTTTCAATAATTTTTTTAATAAAGAAATTGATAGTCTAGAAACTTAAAATAATAGTTACGTTTTCTATTGTATAAGTACTTTATACCTGAAAATAATGAACCTTCTAAATTCAGTAGAATAGGCACAGGAGCCAGACAAAAATCACAAAAATTGGCGAATTATCTTGAATTAGTGGTTTACCATTCTTTTATGAGATTAACTAATTGGATAAAAATAATTTATATCGAAAACACACTTACTGGACAGTATAACAAAATTAAAATTATTTCAATATTTGTCAAAGAAAAAAAGTTCTGGCCCACTATAAGAGAGTAAGAAATTGACACTATTTCAGACTTCTAAGGGGTGCCAAATAAAAGTAAAGCAACAAAAAATTAAAACGGCAACGGATTTTCATATTTGACACCTAAAAGATCATCCTCAAATTTTTTCATTACAATAAAAAATCATGCAGCGCACCCCATTTGTTGTTTTTATTTGGAATGACTCAGAAGTAAAACGTATTTGGAGACTAAACTATTGATTGTAGATAAAAAACGTAAATGACAATTTTGTAGGGAATGTTGTGCCACTGAAAGTGTCAAATTCTTAAAAATTCAGTTTCTGACAAAAAAAAAGTGCTCTTTTTAGTTCCACCCTTACTTCTTAAGAAGTCCCATAAGCCAACTGAATGACGCCTGTAATAACTATACTATTAGAGTTACGTGAAAGAGTGGTTGGTTAAATTGAATTAATTTCAGAAAATAAAAATTAAATTTACTGTCGGTAGGGTCCTTTTGAAAAATGAGTCCATTGAAAATATCCATTTACAAAATAATGAATAAAGTTAAATTAAATCGATGCATGTGTCAAATAAAACGATAGTTTTGTTAATACATCACCGAATTTGTTTTTTGCAACCTGGTAGAAGATTCTTACTAAATTATAATAATAGGAATAATTATTGTAGGACCGGTAGATGGTGCGAAAGAAGACGAGAGACAGTGAAGTGGTAGCGACGAAAGAAGAAAAACGTAGTTTTAGTCAGTGCTGTTAAATTTAAATTATAATCATTTATCTTCTTATTTTAATCTTGAATAAAGATCCTACAAATTGGGGCCTCAACCGTGACCCATATATTTATTATTGATAAAATAGTGCCGAGTGACAACTGACAGTGAAAGATGAGAAAGCTTCAATTAGGAGATGTAATTCCGGAAGCTTTGGTTGTTGGACGAACAGGAGATATTTACAATTTATATAAACTTATATTTGAAGAAGATGGACATAGAGGTAGTCGAAAGAAGTCGAATTTGACCCAGATGAGTTAAAGGTTAAATATGATTCGGTCATGCATAAATGTGACTTTAACAATGTGCAGTTATCAAAATTGTGTCAATTGTTGTGTTTGGATAAAAGTGAATCCGCTGAGGAAATGGTTAAACGAATTGTGGATGCATCGAGGAATTTAAATAAATTAACGTCTGAAGATGAAGACGACGATGTTGACGATGAGGCTGAAGCAGAGATGGCGCCACCAGTGCAGTTTCCTAGTGTACCTAATTTAAAAATTCCAAAAGTATCAAACACTTGTCAAAATTTGATGTCAAAATTGACAACTGCAACTAACAAAAAAATTTCGCAATCTACAGGGTGGACGATGATTCCCTGGATAATGAGGAAATGTCCCTATTAAATCGTTTGACGCAATTAAAGGATAGCAGAACAATGGTGAATAAAACAGATTTTTATGGAGGTTCCCCTCGAACGACGAGAAAAGAGCCTGGAACAAGATTTGCGCTTACTTTCCGCGACTTTGAAGGTTCGATACGTTCTTTTTCTGGCGAAGATAACTATCCTGTAGAGAAGTGGATAGCTGAAGATCTTGCTGTATTATTAAATTGGGGTGATCTACAAATTTTGGTATTTGCTAAACGTTTGTTAAAGAGGCTTGCCCAATTATTTATTGCGGGTGAAACTGGCATAAATACCTGGCCAAAACTGAGAGATTCTATTAAAAATGAATTTGCTATAGCAATTGATGACGATAATTTTCCCACTGCAATTTATGTTGTTCCTCATAATTGCTTTGGTACAAAAGTTGTGATTGACAATGAAGTCATAAACCAAGCTGAAGTAACTATTCAAAACAATAAAGTAATTTTTAAAAAGTTACCCTATGTTGCTGTACAGTACAGCCTGTACTACATGTAAATGTTGAGTTGGAGTTTGGTGAGAATGCCACCAAAGAAGTAGTAATATTGAAGTATCGCTATCCTTTACCAATAATCAGCTGGATCGATTACAAGATGCAAGAGTGTTTTGAACTTTAGACCTTAGAAATGGATTTTTCCATGTAAAAGTGAATAAGAGTAGTAGGAAGTACACTTCTTTTGTGACTCATCAAGGTCAGTTCCAATTCTTGAGAGTGCCGTTTGGGATTAGCGATTCGCCTGCTGTTTTTCAACGATTTATCAATACTGTTTTCCGACATTTGGCAAATGAAGGAATTTTTTTATCTTATATGGAAGACTTAATAATACCTACGGCTAAAGAAGAGACTCTTAAAAGATTAAAATTGGTCGAATTTATCCGAGTCCGTTAAAAACGACAGCTGTATTAAAATTTCCTGAGCCGCAGAACGTCAGATTCAAAGTTTTTTCGGGCTTACTGTTTATTTTCGTAAATTCCTGCCAAATTATGCGATTATTGCTCGTCCTTTGAGTGGTATGTTGAAAAAAGGAGCTGAATTTAAATTTGACGACGTAACTTGTAATAGTTTCAAAATTTTAAAAAGTATGCTTGCCAAAGAACCTGTCCTAGCGATATATAACCAAAAATACGAGACAGAATTACACACTGACACATCTAAGGAGGGATATGGTGGTATTCTTTTACAAAAGAACCCTGATGATAATAGCTGGCATCCTGTTAACTATACAAGCCGTAAGACAACGCCTACCGAGAAAAATTATTCGATTTATGAATTAGAATTATCAATGCTTTAAAAAAATTTCGTATATATTTGCTTGGGATTCCTTTAAAGATTGTCACTGATTGTGCAGCGTTCCAAAAGACAATGGACAAAAAAGATTTGAGTACTCGAGTTGTCAGATGGGTGATGTTGTTGACAGAATTCCAATATATCATCATCATGCATTGTGCTGGAGTCCGTATGAAACACGTCGACGCGCTGAGCCGTTGTCCTGTAATGTTAATTACATTAATACCTACGATGTTGTATCCAAGATTCGTCAAGCACAAGAAAGAGATGATTGGATTAAATAATAACTATGAAATATTTTCAAATTTAAGAAACCTTTGTAAAGAATTAACAAATGAATGTTATGTAAATTACATTAATTCATTAGAACTAAATATAGGCAATAATCCAAAAAAATTTTGGAACTATATTAACTCTAAAAAAAACAGTAATATACTACCATGCAGTATGAATTACGAACATAGTTATTCTGATGATCCTGAGAATATTGCTAACTACTTTGCAAAAT